TGTAGTAGAGCTATAGACAATATCGGATAGATAAAGAGAGGTCTTGGAACCCTCATGTACTTTCACCAGCAATGACTCCCCTAGGTAATAGTAGTCTTAGGAGATGGTACAGTATATAAAAAGTGGAAAAAGATTACCTATAAGGGGACCTAATGATACAGATTCTGTAAGATTGTCATCAGTGATGGGTTGTGACTTTGTAGTGATACAGATGCTTGGGGTTATACACACTCAAGTACTACAACCTCTTGGTTGTGTTCTCTAAAGCAAGTTAGGGCATTGGTTTGACAAACTCAAACTGGAGTTTGATGGAACCATTGTTTGGTATGTCATTGGAGCTCTGTCCACATTTTATGTACTTAATATTTGCTTGATTGCAATATTCATGTATACACTCCATGTTTGCTTTCAACAGCCTTATTACCTTTTTCTCTGAGGCTGTTTCACTGATAGAAATGATACTGATCAGTGGGGTGGTTGCAATGCTGGCAGTTGGGACAGGGAAGTATAGATGGTACTGGTGCTTACCAGGGGTCTGTTCATGGGAGAAACTAATTGGCAGTGCCTGTACTGTGGGCAGTTAACTGGCCTAATCTATGGGTAATATAGTTTCAGCAGCTGTAGCATAGCAGCAATGGGTACCCAATCCATTTGGAAGAGGTCACTCTTGTGCAGAGCAAATGATGTTCAGAGATGCAAGAGCTGGCAGCTGTCGCTTGTCTCTTTGATGCAACAGCCAAGTCCTCTTTTCTTCAATTTATATTCAGTCACTCAGACACAGCTTCTAGCTTCTAACCTGCCAATTTATCCAGGCTTCTATTATCCCACCCCACATTAACCTAGTGACCAAGCAGTCTCCTTAACACTACCCTTCCATGTGGCCACTTCTCAACAAGGACTAACATTGTTATATTTAGAAAGTTGTAAAAGTATAATCATTATCTATAACTGCTGTGTCACTCATACCCCCCAACCATTTCTTTAGATATCTTTTATTCTCCTTCCCCACCTTTTGGGAGCCTACCCTTTACTGAGTCCAGTAGCTGGAGAAACTACAGTCCCTAGAGCACTTTTCATTCCAAACGCTTGTTCCTGCAGCAACAATGTGGCCATGCCAGGAAGAGGTTCTGTTTAATCAAGTTTAATTCACAGGCTGTTGCTTCTCAAGTCAACATGCCCTTTTTAGGCTACTGGTTACTGAATTGTTCTTTTGGAGCTTAAAATAGTACATGGGGGTCTGCATTAAGGAAGAAACAGCTTTCATTGACTTTAGCTTTATTTAATTTTAATTGAGCATATACATAGTCACAAAGGATTCACAAAGGTTTGTAGATTCAAACACTGAAAAATTATTCCAGTCAAAATATACTCCAGTACAAAACCCAGCTGACACACTATAATCTCAGTCAGCAAACGTTAAACCCTTAATTTGTCCCCTCTCCCCTTTTGATCACATCATATGAACAGAGCTTCAGAGTAGGGCTTGGAGGCCCAGAACTTCATAATTCACTCATACTGCTTGTCAAGTAGGACAGTTTCAGAAACAGTTGCTGTGTCCAGGTGAAGGGTTTCCATCAACTGTAACCTGTATTACACTGCTCCAAAGTCCAACAGCAATATTAATTCTTTTGGGGAGTTTCAGTGTTCCATATAAACAAGCACACATACATAAAACTTAGGTGTGTGGTTTTTTTTTTCTTTGTTTTTCTTTTTTTTTGTTTTTTTTTTTTTTTTTTGCAATTTGCGAACTATTTTGGCAGGAAAATGGTTAAATATAACACCATAAAACACTTTAAGCACACTTTAGAAGAGCACCGTAATGAATACTATTACACTTAATATATTACTATGATATCTAAAACATTAACAAATAGAAATATGTAATACAATTGTTGAGAATCACATTGAATCATAAATAAAAGGAATTCTTAGAAAAAAAGATGACAATTCAGAATAGAAACCCTATGTCATTTCTATACTTTGTAAACACTTTACCTCTTTCAAGTTTTGTCCTTTGAATTCTTATATGCCACTCTTCTCAGAGCAGAAGTACTAAAATACTGAAAAATCTCCTTAAGAAACTAACTCAGAATTATTCTTTTGCCTATTACTTGGCTTGTGCTTCTTTTGTTCAGTTGCCTAGAACTCAACTAGTGTCTCTGCTCTGGAAATCTCTTTCCTCTCAGCAGTATTCTGCCCAACATAGTTTCAAGTAATCTAAACAGGCAGTAGGAACTTTTCTTTTTCCACAATGAGATACATCAAATCATCTTTTCTTAAATATCTGCATGGCCTTCTTACTTGTGTTCAGGTCAGCACAGCAACATCAATTTAATAATATTTATCAATAAAGGTAGTAACATTTACAATTAGAGTAATATTAACAACAATAATCACAAGTTGTGTAACAAGAAAATGAACCTATTAACAATAATAATACCTGTTATCACAGATAACTCTTTCAATAGCCCTATAAGATAGTAGGTATTATTATCCACCTTTTATAGATGAGGAAACTGGCAAACTAAGGCCACATGACTTGCCTAAGGTCACACAAATACTTGACTTATGGACAAAGAAGTCCTTGTCCCATTAGTCTGAGTCCTGGACTTGTTTCCATTATAGAGACTGCTTGCCTTATGTCAAAATCAAAGCACAAAGTGCTTTTAATTGTATACACACTTTTTCTATCACACAAATCGAATATATGATAGATTTCTTTCAGTAACAGCGTTCTTGGAACCATTCACTCTCTGCTAAAGTAAATCAATTACATCACCAAAGGTCCCATATCTAAAGTAAAGTTTGTGGCCATGAATAAATTTGTCTTCTACATAAAGTTAGTTGAAATAAGTTCACAATAATGCAGTTCTTAAATTTATAAGCAAATACTAATGCCTACATTTATAATCAGATATTAAATTATAACTATTCACAAAAAAACATAAGCAAACAACTTAGCTGGAAAGAACAATCTCATTAAGGAATGCTGAGATCTCAAGGAAACTGTTAGACTTTTCTCAATATCCTTGCACATGGTGCCCTCTGATGGATTTTCTAAGCCAACATATTAAACAAGAACAAGAATGTTCACTTGTGCTCACTCTTCTCCTTGGTAGGAAGGGAATGTCTGTGACAAAAGTGAAGAAACTGAAAGAGGGAGATCTGTGTACAGGGAAAACCAGAAAAGGAATAATGAATTAGTATAGACGTAGATCAACACCAAGGAGAGGAGGGAAGGAAGGGAGGAAGGTAAAAGAAGGGAGAGGGGAGACAGAAAAGGAGAGGGATATAGAGAGAGGAAAAGTGGGGGAGAAAGAAAGCAATGCAGGGGAAGCAAACAGAAAGAAAAGTCTGGAGTCTATGATGGAACAAAGCACCGGAAATGAGGAGGCTTCAATTAGTGAAGAAATGATGAGCCTCAGCACAGGAAGTTGTGAACCTCTGGTTAAGGCAGCAACCAAAATCCAAGATCAAATATCCCAGAAAAAACAAATATGGAAAAGTGAGCACCTGGGTGAAATGTTGGAAGGAGAGAGAAGCAGTGTTGTGTTCTATGAGGGTACTTCTGAACGGGAGTGTATAACACACCCTATGTGTGAGACTGATGAAATTAATTTAAAAAAGAATATAGAATAATAATTAAAGTGAATTGAGTTGAAATGGGTATATGAGAAAGGGAAATAAAATGAAAGCCACTGATAAGTGATAACTTGATATAGTTAGAGAAAAGTGTAGAAATAGCAAAGGAATGGAATTAGCACATAAGAGCACAAATTATGTTATGAATCTGTACAATTTTCACAGGGAGATATACAACATCCAAAAATAAAATAAAATCAAACAAAGAAGTGAAGCACCAACTGTAAAGAAATACTGATTCCAGAGGCAAAAAGTTGCCACCATCTCAGAGCCTACAAGACTTCACTTTAAGGCATGAAATCTTGTCTAGGCTCAGTTAGCATGAAAATTACAGGTAGAAATAAGTGAGAGCACCAGGCAGGTGGATAGCATGAAGGGTAACAAAGAGCAATATATACATGCTTATACCTGTGTTAACATAAAAGTGTATGCATGTGTGTGCATATATGCACTTGAATATGTCATGTTTAGATGCAACAAATTATAGTTGATAGGGAATAGTTTGGGGGGGTTGGAAATGCTGATCTGCTTGTCTTAAAAGTATTAGGAGAAAGGTATGACCACAAATCCGTGAATAATCAACTCAGATGGCCAGTTCTGATAGGAAAGATCAGTAAATTCATCAGAGAACACATATGCTACTTAAACTAATACAAATCCAAGTGGTTCCTCCAGATAAAGTCCACAGTTATATACAAGATGAGATATCTGAAGCTGGGGAAATCACTATAAAATCAAAGAACTGTAAACTGAGTTTACAGAGTCACATTTACAAAGGTGGGGTAATAGAAGTACAGAGTCTCTCACCAGTATTTCTTGTTCCTTAACATGAGTATGTACATCAGACTAAGTTGATGCAAAAAGTAATTATATAAGAGCACCAAGTCGGTGCACAAGGGCAGTGAAGGAAAAGGTGTTCCTATTGGCACAGAGCGGCTAGCACATAGTCTTCCTAGTAATTCTTTACACAGATCTCTTTCAATCACAGTTCCTTCATCTCACTATCACTACTAGCAATAACAACAGGTCAAAGCTGGAGGCAAAGAAGAATCTTATTCAGGAAATCTAGTTCTCATAAATTCATCTGCAAAGTAAGTTAGGTAAGTAAGTCAACAAATTCCTTCAGGGTCAGGAACAGTAAGTTATCTACATTATGGCACAGTGTACAGTGTAGTTCTGATGCCAGATCTGAGATTCAAAACCTTAGCAATATTCAGAGAGATGGATCTGTGAGGGTGCACATGATAGTAAAACACTCTACTCAACATCTAAGTTATGGGTTATACCATCTCTGACTGAAATGTCTGTGCCAAGGTACTAATTAAACAAGATTCCAATGGATCAAATGGGTGCCCAACTTAGTGACTGCTAGTCTGCATGTGGATGCAAAAGTAAGCATCCTGGGTAGAGGGCCCTGGTACTGGTGCTGCCGCCACCACCACCACTGCTGCTGCCTCTTCATCTAGGGAGGGATCTGGATCTTCCCACTCCCCTTGAACAGAAACCTGGGAATTATCCCCTGTAGCCAAACTGGGATCCTCAAATACTGGGGGCTCTGGAACAGCCAGGGGAACTCGTAGCAGTGAAGATGTCTTTAGTTCCCGAAGCTCATGACTCTCCTGTGTCTTTATATGCTGAACCTGGGAGCTCCCACACATAAACAATGCATGCATCCTGAAAGATGTTATAGATCTTAGTTTGGCACGGAAGCTCCTGTTGAGCCAGCAGTAGATGAAAGGATTGTAGCAGGTGCTGCTCATTGCAAACCAGTGAAAAGCATAGAAAAGCACACTGTCATTTTCTACTCCTGCACTGGAAATAAGAACCACATAGAAATTAAGTGGAAACCAACAAACTGCAAAGACCAACACAATAAGAATCAGCATCCGGATGCTCTTCTTTCTTTTCTGGTAGTGTGCCATCAGTTGACGAGCAGATGCATCACCAATAGCATTCTGGATCCACAACCTCTTTCCTAGGTGAGAATAGGTTACAACAATCACCATAAGTGGGAGGATGTACAATAAGACAAATGTCCCAAGGTCCACATATTTTGAAACCAACTGGCTGGGTCCAGGAAATGCAGGGAGGCAGTAGCTCCTGGCAATACCATCCCTGGAGGAAAGCAAGAAAAAAAAAAGTTAAGATAACAAGACTAACTGAAAGGACCCCAGAAAGATCCTACCACTACTTAATGCATATGTCCATAACAAGTCCCAGTCTCTTGAAACTTTAGGTTTTAATTTGTTCAATTTTCAAATTAAGGGGCTGAGCTAAATTGCCACCTCTTATGGGTCTAGCCTAGGTATAGGTCAATCTGAAAACAGGCAAATTCTTCATTTCCTGTGGTCTTAATTTGGTGGCCCATACACTTGGCTCCACTAACAGATTAGAATTAGAAAAAATGGGAGCATATCTTCTATTCAGGAAAATGGGGAATGGATGAAAATGATGTTAAAAGCATTACAAATGTCAACTTCTTGGGAGTCTCTGGAAAGAAAAAATGTGAAATTACCCATTATGTCTGACTTACGTGCTCATGAAAGTGAACATATTTTGGTAAATTGCATGTGGAAGAGCAAGGAACACAGCAATACTCCAGATCACAGCAACAACTGTTAAGCTTTGAGAGTGTGTTAGCCTTGGCTTCATTGGGTGCAGAATTACCTACAAAAGATAGCCCACGTCACTGTGGTTTGCATAAACAGACACAGGTTGATGAGTTTCTGATGGATGAAAGAGTTTCCTTGGGCTATTAATTTACCTTACTCCAATATGAACACATGTGGAATGAAGGTAGTTTAGAGGGGAAAGAGAACGCATAAAGCATACATATGGTGCTGAAACTCTGAAATTCAAAACGGCATCCAGCTGCAGAAGTATGTATGATAGCGGGAAGAAGTGTCTAGCTAGTCTACAAACAAGTTCTATTCTCAAATATGGCTCCACCCTGTAGATTTCTGCAAGATTTCTAATTTTACTGGCTATTCATTCCCTGCTCCTTTATTCAAAAATGTCCTTAAGTGGTCTTACCCGGTGCCGATCCATGGCAACTGCCATCAGTGTAAGAGTCGAGACATGGAGGGAGCAGTACTGAGCAAAACGACTCACATGGCACATGATCCTACCAAATACCCACTGTCCAGTCAGGAAACGAGCCTAGGGTATGAAATCAAGAGTGAAAAGGGTAGGTTATTTATTAGAATATTGTCCACAAACATTGAAAAGAATCTAGAATGGAGGCTCTATGCATGCTTATTCTCTTTGCTGTTTTTAGTCCAATCACCTACTCCTAAAATGGAGCATTCTCTTTTTATGTGCTGAAACCAGCTCTATATAAATCACTCACCACAGCAAATGGACTGTTGAGCAGGATTATCAAAATGTCAGATATAGCCAGATTGAAGATGAGAAGGCCTGTTGACTTCTTGATTTCTTTGTGCTTAACAAAAACTTGGCATACCAGGGTGTTGCCAAAGAGAGAGATCATTATGATGACAGCATATGCCAAAGACAGCACAATCTTTGCCACGATGTGGGGATTGCCCCCTAACCATTTCCTCATTGATCCTGGTGGTTCTCCCCATCCTGTACTTGAAACATTGGTTGCATTCAGATCTGTGTAATTGCAACTTTGATCCTCAATGAACGGAACCCAACTGACATTTTGTCCGAGCCAATCAGTGGAATCTTCCATTTGTAACAGGGAAGAGGTGTTCATTTTTGTTTAGGGAGACTTTAACAGGTCCCAAGGGACCAAAAAGGATATAGACGATGAAATTCTTTTCCAAGTCCTCACAAACAGAAACTCCTGGTTCCACCTAAAATTGAGAGAATTAAATTCTTTAGCATTTTATAGAACAGTGAGTCCAAAGAAGCAAGGATCTAAGACCTTTTTATAAAAAAAGAGAAGCCGTGAGGCTTGCTTGTCACCCACTTTCACTCAGAGGGAATCCTGTGAAGCCAATTAGACCACTCATATAGAATGATACCTATACCAGCTTGTTTTATTACCACAATAGTGTATAAATGTTGCCTAAATGAGTCACTGCCTTCTAATAATTACTCCATTAATTAATTGCTTGCTTAGTAATTATTGCCTAACCAGAGTTACATTTATTGCAGTCTAGCATAATATATAATTCTAGATTATTACTATACAGTTATAGGGTTATGAATATCTGACCTTTCTACCTTGCCTTGTGAAAGCAAAGATAGATTTTTGACTTGTGCAGAGAATTTTAAATAAATAAAAAAATCAAGCCAGAAGAAATGGGCTTCAAAATAGGTGACTAGTCTCAATCTGCTAGAGCTGACACCTATTTAATAATGTGCATGTTTACATACATGTAAAAGGATAGGATATCAGAGACTGTAAATCTTAAAGCAAATTTTTTTTTACATTTCCATACTACCCACTCCTGTCACTAGCTTGCAGTATGACTGTGCAAATATCTATGATTAATAAAATTAATTAAATATTTCTAAATTTTGTAAAGACCTTTGAATGTTTTCACTATAAAGAAATGGTAAATTTGTGAGATAAAACGTATGCCAATTTCCAAAGCCTAATAAATTTAGCATTATGTACATTTCTCAAAATGTGATGATATACCCATAAATATGCATAATCATTTTGTTAATGAAAAATAAAACCAAAAACTTAAAATCATTTTGCCTTGTTTACTCCAACTACCCAATGGCAATTATATATACTTCATAAGCTGATGGAGACAATTAAATTAATAAGCAGGAAAAAAATGAAAAAATGTATACCATTCAAACACCTTCCTCAGGATGTAAAAATCTCTGGGTTTCCTTATACTGGAAACCTTCTTTTTGTTTTTATTGCTGTTCTTAAGCAAGTAAATTCTGGCCAAAAGGGAGAAAATGGTTGTGTGTGTGTGTGTTTGTGTGTGTGTGTGTATGTGTGTATGTGTGTGTTGTATATGTGAAATGTTTTGTTGCTAGTTCATGTCGATGGATGTTGTGCATGGATATTTATGTATATGTTTTGTATGAGTGATTTGTTTAGGAAGTTATGTCCTGTTTCTTATGTGAACTCATATGTAACATTACAATATTTTCACAATGCAGACTTGTATAATGTGCATTTTCTATATAACACCTGTGTTTGTGTGTGTGGCATGCTTGCTTGCTGTGTATTTGTGTGATGAGTTTCTTTCCTGTACCTGGACTTGTATGGTATGTTTTGTTGCATGTGTATGACATATGTTTGTGTAGAACAAAAATGTAGTGCTGTCTGTAATAATGGTAATACTCGGTTGGAGCCACAAATTTTCCTTCTTTTTTTCCTCTCTACTTCCCATCTCTTTCTGTCTCCTCCACCCCACAAAATTTACTATGGAAAATTGGGGATGTTGCTGAGTGACACGGCATGCCTGAAAAACTGGGTTCCGTATCCAAGACTCCACAGTTAAATCACAAGTACTAGTTAACCAGACAGAGTGCTCCCCACTTGCTACTCCAGTACCAGTAACGTGAAGGCAGAAGGATCACAAGCTTGAGGACAGCCTGGGCTATAATAACCAGTATTAGGTGGAGCTGCATAGTGGGAACCAGTCTTAAAAATAATGTGGTATGGTGCAAACAAGGAGAATCCTTATGCTAAGGTTAGAGATCCCTTTTAAACACATATATTCCCCAAATTTCCCTTCTGATTGGAGGCAGTCAAGCTATGATGGGTGGCTCCTATAAGGAAGGGTTACCCCAACCTAACATCTAAATGAGCCAAGCTTTGGGCCTTAAAGGTTTGAGCCTTTGCCCCTCCTTTTGTTTCAGGAAAGTATGGGGGGGGGAGGAGGGAGCTCCAAGCAGTTTCTGGCATTTTCTAGACCATCAAGTGGTGAAGGGATTTTAAAAATTAGATTATTTATGTTGTGAAAAACTACTTCTCCCCAGCAAGACTTCTCTTTAGCCAAATGATCAGAAGGGGGCAGTGGAGAGGAATTGATCATTTCATTCATAGCCCCTTCCTCAAATTTCAGGAGGGCGGGGCTTTAAAGAACTGCGTCATCATGAGACCTCTTAGCCTCCTGAGGGTGGTTGCTATTGGTGACCACCCCTTAACCTCCAGCAACACCCTGGAGACTAAGAATCTATAGTTCTAATTACAGAAATTTTCTCTTTTCTGTCTTGGGGGTAGAAAGGATGATGAACACTGATTCATCCCTACCCTATGCTGGGGCCCCCTCCCCAGGTGTGGAGCAAATGATTCCAGGAGAGAAGGGGTTCCCGTGGGAGGAGACTTAGCCCCTGACCTCAGTCTTTTCCAGCCCACCTTCTCCCTGGAGAGCGAGACAGGGAGGAGAGTGGGGGGGGGGGACAGGGACCCTGCATCTCTGAAACTGGTAGTCGCGAAGTCAAGCTTACAGTTTGAGTGTACTTTGACGCGCAAGAAATAACCACCATCAGAAAAACGACGACAACAACATCTCATTGTGGAAGCGTGACAGTAATGGGGGGATAAAACACTCAGAAGTGCGAGAATGGGATGGGATATAGTGAATAAGAAAGAAGGCTTTCCAGAGGGTTTTGGAGCAGATATCCTCACTTTTCAGGAGTGCCAGAATCCCTGCTGATAAGAACAAACAAAAAACAGGAGGGAAAAGAATTCAGTGTTTTGCGCTCGTGGATAACCTGTGGAAGAAAGGCATCCTAAAAAAACAAACAAACAGGTTGAGGACTAGGGGCTGTCGGCGCGTGGATTTGGGGATACCATGCCATGCCCCCAAAACCCTTCTTTTACATGGGCAATCTGCCCATTTCCCTGTTTACCTGGTGTCAGACGCAGCAACAGCAGCTTACCCCCAGATATCTCCAATCGTTCCTGTAAATGATGAGACTTACCTTAGAACGTTCTATCCAGAGAAGGACTGGAAAGCTAGTAGCCTACCAGCCTCAGTGTGCTGCTCAGGCAGAGGATAGATGAAGATGGACTAGTAGACTAGCCGCCAGTCCATCCAGGTCCCAGAGCGCCTCAGAGCCCGAGGTGTCTCTGGCTCTGCGCACACAGCCTACTGCTGCAGGCAAGGAGTCGTGCGCACTCCCCCGCGTCAGTGGGACTGGATAGTGACCCTCAGCAATGGGGGCGGGGCCCCGCGAGGGCTGGCAGAGCTTTGCGCGAGACTTTGCCTCTACCACGAGATGCTGTCTGATCTGCAACACACAGGGAGGGGAACAGAGGGGGGGCACATGGAAGGGGAGGTGGGGGGGCACAGGTGGCCTCCGCTGCTAGATCAGAGCTAGTTATTTTTCACATTTCCACTGAGTAACTGGGGCTCTAGTGTTCCCTACCAAGACGCAAGCACTCTGGGGGCTAGACCAGACAGTACCTCTGGATTTGGCGGAGAGTGGTTGCTGCCGATGGGGTAAATTCCTCTTAAGAAAACAAAAAAAAAAAAAAAAAAAAAAAAAAAAAAAACATAAAACATACCAAAAAAAGGAAAGGAAAGAAACCCACTCATCTAAATATGCCCATTTCAGTTCAGCAACCAGAATGTAATTAACATACACCCATCTACTCAAGTTCTTTCATGCCTAATTTCCTGCTTCCCATATCCCCAAGGTAATTTGGCCTTCAGATTTTATTTATTTATTTATTTATTTATTTATTTATTATCTGCATGGAACCATAACCAAGAAAACACTATGGAGCCTTCAGAAACGCAGAATCTTGGAATTTAGAGATGGAAGGTAGAAGGTGAATGGGAAAAACAGTTAGGGAAAAGGCATCCATCTTTAGAAAGCTGTCTTTGAGTGTACTTGCAGTGGTACCAAACAAAATCTGTGACATAAAACTATACATGAGCTTTTGCAAAACCAGTGTGGTAAATGATTTCTGTGCTTCCATTTCTTCCTTTGAAAAAGGAAAGCAAAGGGAAAAACACAAGGAAGATTCGAAGAGAGAAGTAGGAGATTCCTGGCATAAACTTCTCATCTAAAAAATAAAGCAAAAAAATATTATTTGGATCAATTGAGGTTTGGCTATTTTATTTCTATATTTTTTCTGCCCTTTTGTGTATATTCAGCTAGATAAAACAGCCTCAGATTGTATTTTTAATTCACAGACTGGGTTCCTTATTTCCCCCGAATTTTCTCGAAGGACTATGTAAACAATCAGAGCTCTTCTATGCAGTGACTCACCAAACCTCCCTGGATAGAATAGAAGTGCCCTTAATCTTTACACATCTGATTTTCACCTTTACAGGTTTCTGTAAAGCTGGCTCTTTCAGGTAGTGTAAAAATCCCATTCTCCCTGCCCCCTTTACAGCACATTTCCCACCAAACAGTGCAGTAGTAATACCATCTGTCAAATTCACCAAATATCTTCTCCAAAAACAGATTTTTTTTTCATATCTTTCCCACACATCCTGAATTTCCTTTGGAGACTGCAAGAGACTCTCCCAACCCCACATCCCATCTTTACACAAACTTGTGTGATAGACCTCCCCCACCAGTTATCTCTGGCTTTGAATAAAATGAGTTATTGAAAATGGGGACACCTCATTATTTTCCCTCACCCCAACTTTCCCCAAAGACATCTCCATTGGGTACAAATATTTACAGAAAATGTGTGTTTACCCAAAGCAGAATAGAAACAAGCTCATCATTCCATCATCCAATGTTCCTTTTGTGACCAGTCCAGCAACAATGTAGTGTCTGCTGCACATGATCAATTCACTACACACATGGCCAGGA